CTGGGCATCTAGACATATCTATTTCTGAGGCCAATTGCTTTGGCTGCAAACCAGGTAGCTCTTTATATCTCTGCTTTGGTAGCCTGCATCAATGTGTTCAGCTTTTTTGCCTTGTTATTTTACCTTATTTTTAAATAGTCTACATGGCTGCCCAACTGGCTGTCACTGTATCAGCTGGTAGATATCTGAGCTAGAGGGCAAGTCCGCAGAGAGTAATCTTTGTGTATTTCACAAGGACAGTGAGAATGCTGTTGCAGTAATGAAACTGAACTCAATGTTTGCCCTTTAGCAAATTCCAACTTTCCTGGTCTATGTGGGTCTGTTAAATAGCCTGGCATCAGGTTAGGCACGGATGGAACAGATCACGCTGCCTTGCCAGCACAGCACGGAGGTGTAGTTGAACATTGCCTATTATGACAAGAACTTGAAGGTTTCAAAGACAGTGGCCCTTCTCAGTTTTATCCTGGAAGTAATAATAATCATGCCTACCAGCTTTCTTCATTTGACTTCACAATTCATTTGCTGAGAACTGGCATGCATGGTGCCTTTAAATCAGAAAAAAGGAATGGTAAGAATGTTTTTTATTTTATCCTTTGAATAAAATCTTGCTGGTGGTGAGCGGGACTAGAACGACAACTACCTATCTTGTTCTTTTTCTTTCAAGGTCATGGTTGACAAAGAAGGGAGCCACCTTCCAATTGATAAAGGAGTTTGATTCTTATTTAGATCAAGCACTCCTAGGAAGGAGTATTTCTGATGAGACTCATGTATTCACCAAAGCGGTTTTCTGATTACCAATGTTATAGAATCATAGAGTTGGAAGAGACCACATGAGCCATATAGTCCAACCCTCTGCTAAGCATAAAAAGCACAATTAAAGCACCCCTGATAGATGGCCATCCAGCCTCTGTTTCAAAGCCTCCAAAGGAGCCACACTACACCCCAAGGCAGAGCTGTTAGGAAGTTCTTCCAGATGTTCAGGTGGAATCTCTTTTCCATTCCATTCATTTGAACCCATTGTTGAAATGAATAGAATGGAAAACAGATCCTAGGTCCCTTCCACACTGCCCTTTACCCCAGGATCTGATCCCAGATTATCTGCTTTAAACTGGAATATATGTGTCCCCACTACCAGATAACCTGGGATAAACAGATAATCTGGGGTCAGATCCTGGGATAAAGGGGCAGTGTGGAAGGGCCCCTAGACTCCAGTGCAGAAGAAAACAAACCTGCTCTCGCTCCCTCTTCCTTATACTTTCAGATATTTAAACATGGCTCTCATGTCTTCTCTCAATCATCTCTTCTACATGCTAAACATACCCGTAAAGAATGGTCTCCAGACCTCTGATCATTTTAGTAATCCTAGTGCAAATGAGGAACTCATAGAAAATAGAAGGGGGATTCAAATCAAGTATGAATGTGAATATACCCCTAGTATAATTCCTAAGATTCAAACAAAATAAGAGACTTGTGCCACAAGTAACATTTTTGGCCTCATCTTTTTCCTCTGCTACTCCACCCAACTCTGGAAACAGAAGGTGGTAAGAGCAAGGAAAGGGAGCACGACACTCACCATACAACATCAAGCCAAGGCTGGTGAATTCGCATCCCAAAGTGTACCCTAATTATGGTGACATAATTTAGCCAAAAAAGATGTGCATTATACCCGAGATAATATATTATGGTTTTTTAGGTGGTCTGTCTTCTCCCTTGCAACTGGTACACTTCTGGCTTGACCAACTCATGTCATATACATACACTTGGCAATGTTCAAGTTTATTTCACTAGTAAACCTTATTGACAAGTGACTGCTAAATTAAGATGGTTAAAATTACCACTGGAAGCACTTGGGCTATTAATGCAATATGAGTTCTTGTGAATATTTCAGTGTCTAAATGTCAGGTTGTCTTATCGATCCAACTCCCCAAACATCATCTCAATATTGAAACGTTGCCAAAATAACTGAAGTATATCTGACACTGACATAGCTGGCCAGTTTACAGGGCGGGATTGAGCCTGTCTGTTCCCAGAGAGGGTGCCAAATCAGTTCTAGCTAAGAGGTATCTTTGGGACTTTGAAAGAAAATAACCTCTTGGATTCAACATCTGCAAAATTAGATTTTTTTAAAAAAACACCCAGCTCTCTCCCACTAACCCACATGTTTAACACAAATCATTCTACACATGGGAAGCAAACCAAAATATTAGAGACGTGTCTTATTTTCAACCCCAAGAATTATAAGCTACAATGGCCTGCTCTTGCAGAAAACGATGATAAAATATGTTATTTATTTATTTTTCAAAGACCAGTAAAGTAGCAGCAGCAGGTGCTAATCCACTGGAAGTATGCCAGGACCATAGGCTACTGGATACCCTGGGTCAGATCAGTTCACCAATGGAGCTAAATTTAAAGTCTTGGGAATTGAAAATACATGTATATCAGAAATAAATTGCATGACAGTTAACCCTTTAAAGTAAAAGCCAATGGTGAACTCTTTCGTACCTGTATTACTCTGGGTGTAGAGCCGAGTTTAAAAATGGTAAGTTCAAATGTATTAAACTCCTACAGACATCTCTAATTGCTACAGGATGTGTGTGTGTGTGTGGGGGGGGGGGGGTAATATCCAAATGAGCCTGGAGGGCCAATTCACCATTACTGCATCATCTCACACAAATAAATACCAGATGTCAAGCATTTGTTGAGAGATGAGCCAGCAGAGGCTAAACCAAGCAGCTGTGGTTTGTTTCTATCTGGAATTTGCCAATGTACCAGGGCACCTTTAGATATATGTGGCCACAGCCATGAACTTTTATGGTTACAAAGAATGGGTCAAATCATTTAATTCGGTCATTGACCAGCACAAAGAATGGGTCAAAAATGATCAGTCAGCCTAAAACAAAGTATATTTTCCCTTCAAATCTATGGGGTCTTTTTAAAAAGTTGGTGCATCTAGGACAAGCCTGGCAAACTTGGGCCCTCCAGGTGTTTTGGACTTCAACTCCCACAATTCCGTACTGGCTGTAAGTCCAAAACACCTGGAGGGCCGAACTTTGTCCAGGTCTGATCTAGGAGATAATTCCCTGGAGAAACAGAAAATTAATAAGAGTGTTATTTCTGATAAAGGTGTACTTGTACATCAGGCATAGTGCCACCATGCACCATATAGTCTTGCTATTTGTATGCATGCATAACTTCGGTTTTACAACATTGTGTGGCCTGAGACAATTTGTCTTCTTCCAGTGTGGCCCAGGGAAGTCAAGAGATTGAAGAGAACATCCCTGGTCTAAAGGAAAAATACAGAGCAGATCTTGAATGTAAATATGCTACAAGATAATGCATTACTGCAAATTATTCATTTGCAACGCACACAGTATGAAGTCATTTTATAAAGTATCATTGAAAGATTGCAGTGCATTGCTTTTAATATCGTAAGAATGGGGATTGTTCTTGGCATTTGTTAATATAAGCATAACCTTAAGATGACTAGAGGAAGAGAAAAAATAATGACTAGCCTGGCTTCTCCTGCTGCTGACTCATGGCAAAGGATTTAAAGCAGTGCTAAATATGGCACAGCCCAGGAGAAGAAGCTATGAGAAAGAGAAGAGTGTTGTGTTGGGAAGCAGGATAATCTAGATGGGAGCGAATGAGACTGGAATGTACCAATACAGCCAACAAAGAACATGGTGCCAGTCATGTGCAGCCTTTGGGCCCCACGTTTGTAGCCTTAAAACCTCACACCAAAGTATCAAAGGGCTCCACTAGCCAATTTTAAGAGAATCAGCATGCTTTTAATTCCCAATCCACACAGAAAGCTCTCCCGTGAAAACATCAAAAAATAAACCCACCCTGAACTTAGAACTCATATTACCACAAAGAGTTCTGGTTTTTTTTGTTTGCTTTTTTTCCCCAGTCCCTTCCCAAAATAGAAATAGGTAGTCATGGGCACTATTTCCTGTTGCCATTTTGAGGGACTACAAACAGGATTTTGGCTTGCTGTGGAGGTGGAATCAGAGGAAACTGGCCTCTTGTCCCCATGCAGCTGCCTGCCTATGCTGTAGACAATACTTTCAGAAGCCATGGTTACCATTAATCATAAAGGTGACCTAGGGAGTATATTATTGTGAATCTTTTTCTATAGCACTAAGGGTACTGTTAATGCAATAATCTTGCTCAGACACCAAGCCAAATAAGAAGGTAATGAATTATATTTGCAGAATAACATCCCAGGCTCTGGTGTTCATGTTTGGAAGTCAAGAATCCAATTGAAGATTAATAAGTGGAAGCTGGATATACGTAGTTGACAAAAAGAGGATAATAGAATGAAAACTATCTCCATCATCTATAGCTTTTTTGAAGTGTTTACAACAAGGTATTAGAGGACTAAGGGGTTATGGCTATACCTTAGCACTTCATCCCCTTTTCTGTTTCTTATGTATTCTTCATTTTTTCCTAGTGTTATAATTGTAGTTCGACATAAAGAAATAGAGAATAAACAACAAGTTGAAAAAGAAAGAAAATACGTATTTTATACTGATTTTAGGAAAACAAGAATATGCTATTAATAATATATTAAAATCCAACACCTCGGTTTCATTGTGTATGTAAAAATGAGTACAGAATTACTTTCTTTAAGGTCAAATAATTTCAATATAAAAGATCTTCTAATGATACCACAACAGAGAACAACTAGCACCTAAGCAATGAATAAAACATTTCTTCAATTCTAAGATGCACCTTTTCACTAACTAAACATTTCTAAAAATGATGCGAGTCTTAAAATCATGGCTTTCTCTCTCTCTATATATATATATACAGTATATAGCTTTTTCTGTTGGTGATACTGAAATTAGTGTGCATCTTACAATAGATGGTGTCTTAGAATGGAAGAAATACAGTATGTAGAATGGGATGGTTCCAACTCTAAAACATTATACTGGAGACTAAAAAATGTTATGTCATTATAAAAACTCCATCTTGAAGTAATAAATATAGACTGCTAATAACAAAACACACAGAGACATATTTAATAAAAAGCACAAATGTTCAGTGACAGGTTCTTTTCCTTCTATTAAAAATATTCTAACAGTGCATTCCAGTGTACGCTTACTCAGAAGGGTTCTAAAGGGATTGCACCTTAGGAAGCATGTCTAGGTTTGCAAGGCTAAAGTACAATCACAGAATAAATTATACGTAAATGCTCTTGAGTGTATGCAGAATGCCTTCTCCTTCCAACTGAATAACCAGCACTTTGTTTCAGAGTCTGCTTAGCATATTCCACTTGTACCAAAGATGATGCAAGAAACTACTTTTATTTCTGAAGTTATCAATTCGCTTCCAGTATCTGGATTGGTGGCTTAATATAAAAAATAGACCATCAGCAAACCGTTTTTGAGTCCTCTTTCAGTTCCTCAGATGTGTACCATCCTGTGCCTTACTACTTGAATCTGGGGAACCACCATTGTCAATTAGAGCCTGGTGGTGGGCACTTAAATATTGGCTCAAGATCAGTCTCGGATCCGGACTAATTCACCACTTAGGTCAGGATGAGCATATAAGCAGCTGGTTTAAGATCAACTCTAAGAAAGCCTCCTTCATTGGCTTTTTCGTATCCTTCCTAACTAACAGGGGTTTTGACATGGCTCTCAAATCAATCAGATACTATGAGATATTGCTTTTTGTGAGCTGCGTTCTCATTCTTGCTCCCCAAGTGCCCTGTCCATACATTATGTTGGGCCTTTCCATGCAGGAAATTATCTAAAGAACTTGACTGTGTTCAAATGCTGTTGCCTATTCTCAAAGGCAAGGTGTGATGTGTTCCCATCTGAACTACTGTGTGGGAGATTTGTGGGTATCCCATATAATGAAAGACTCTGCCCATGTAACAAACAGGAAGTAGAATGTATCTACCATATTCTATTTTCATTCAGTTTTTATGAACAAGTTCGAGGACACATAATTAATCCTCTACTGAGAAACTTACCGACCAGTTCAGTGAAATTTTATGTGAAGTTTTTACTTGGTTGATGTTCCCCATATGACCCTGGCTATTGCCGAGGTTCTTTCCGAGGCAGCCAGGATTAGACAATTCTCTATTTTAGACACAGGCTGAAACATGCCTGATGCCTTTTGTAGTTTTTTACCTATGCTCATAGCCATCTTGTATGGCTTCAATCAATTTTAATCCTGTATTTTAGCCAGTTAAAACTGTTGCAAATTTCATCCAACTGTGTGTTGTAAAAGCATGTCCACAGCAGTGGGTTAAATACTTTGATAGAAGAAGAGATTATTTAAAATATTAAATAATATTTAATAAAAATATTGTTGTTAATCTTATTAACCTGGCATATCTTGTACACTTACGGAGCAATAAGGGTCTTTGGACCATAATAAAATATTGTTGTTGCTTACAGTTTTCCACGCAGAATTCTCATTTATTTTGCCAGGCAGAAAAATATATCAGTATTTTGGATCCTTAGGCTCTCCCATGTCTCTGCTTTAAAAAACAGATTATAAAATCAACTGATTATAATGTATATATTGTTATTTGAAACCTTTCTTGTTCTTCTTTCCAAGCACTTCTGATATGTAATTTTCCTGTTGTTTTTCTATCTTGAACTCAGATGCTTGTTTTCTGGGGGAGGAAACACACAACATATAGAAATAAGTAACTAAACCGAGTAGTTCTTATTCCATCAATGAAACATCAAAATAAAGAAAAGGTTAACCCATGTTGTGAAGCCTTCCAAATAATCTTCACTGTTTACGCATAATTTTTAATGAATGGTTTATTGCAGGAATATCTAGATGGGTAAATATCTCAGTATAGTAGAAAACATCAAGCTGGGTGTTAAATAAAGTCATATTCCATGCTGGGCATAATTAGAAAGAGAGCTGAAAATAAAACCACCAATATCATATGGGCCTTTTACAATAATGGAGTCAAACCCTGTTCTCCTAGAGGTGTGGTCCAACACTCAAGCCATTGTGCCATAGTGTGTCACCAAAGGAAGAGATCAGAACAAAACTTACTTTAATGTTTGTTTCTGCTTATTGATGAAATGCTGTAGCTCTTTAATCTCATTCTCTTTGAAGTTTAAAATGTCTTCCTGTCTCTGAATGTGAGTCTCAATTTCTGTAGCAAATGTAGAAACCATTAAGTTACTTTTTATCTCAAAACCTCAGGCCACACAATATATATGTGTACACAGAATTCTTACTTAAATATCTAACTTTGTTTTTTTTTACTTTAGAAAATGATACTAAAATGCAAAGCCAAGTAGACCACTGAGTATATATAGTCAGATAGAATTACAGTTATCATTGCGATATGCATGTTTACAAATACAACTCATATTAATTTATTGCCATTAGCAATGAGACATTATACAAATATACTGCAGACATCACTTTTGATCTTTGCATGCAAGCATAAGGGCATGTCAAGAATTTAGCAGTTCCATAGTAAAGGTAAATGTTTTCCTTTGATATTCAGTCCAGTCGTGTCCAACTCTGGGGGGTGGTGCTCATCTCCATTTCGAAGCCAAAGAGCCAGTGTTGTCCGTCGATGCCTCCTAGGTCATGTGGCAAGCACGACTGCATGGAGCACTGCTACCTTCCTGAAGAAGCAGTACCTATTGATCTACTCATATTTGCTAGATTGGCAGAAGTTGGGCCTAACAGGAGGAGCTCACCCTGCTTCCCCAATTTGAACTGCCAACCTTTCAGTCAGCAAATTCAGCAGGGGACCCTAGCAGTTACACAAGCACACACTACATATTCAGGGTTAGCCATGTTGACCATGCAACAATATCCAAAATCCATAAAATAGTGATACTTTTTTAAGGACAACTATGGTCTTGCTATTTTAAAAAATTGCTTTTCCACAGATGATTGCTCGATCACCCAAGTTCTAAACTTATTTAAAATATTTTTAATCGCCTAATATTTTTGCAGACATCAACACAGTACAATATACAATAAGAATAAAACATCATAAAAACAAAAAAGCAGCAGCAAATACAGCAAATGAATTATAACTACATTTTTTTTTTAAAAAACTGGACAAACTAAAAGTCTGTCAACATATTGAGGTACACACTTAAAAGCTGGTGCTAAAACATGTAATTTATGATATGACCTTCATTCTAAGACAGTCAGATTTAGTGATCTTACCAGAGCATTTGCTTATCAACTTTTCTTTTTGGACTGATTGCTTTAGCACTCTGTGGTTTACACGAGAAAGTCTACAACAGAAATAACAGCGACAAACTGTAAAAACAACACAACTGATTACCATTTTATTTGCATATTTAACTCTAGATTGTGGAAGACTGAGTGGATTCAAGTTTAAGTTCATTTGGCAATGATGTTTGCTGGGTGATTTTGAACTGTCTCCCAGTTATGCCAGCTAAAAAAGTTGTTGTGAGGCTAAGAAGAGAGTGAGACACAAACAAGTACAGTCAGCCCTCCACATTTGCAAGTTTGACTTTTGCAGATTTGATTATTTGTGGATTTCTAGGAATCTCTAGATCCTTTAGTACAGGGGTCCTCAAACCATGGTCATTTACCCGGCCCTCACTCAGGGTCAACCTAAGTCTGTAACGACTTGAAAGCACACAACAATAACAACAACAATCCTATCACATCAGCCAAAAGCAGGCCCACACTTCCCATTGAAATACTAATAAGTTTATATTTATTAAAATTGTTCTTCATTTTAATTATTGTATTATTTTTAAGTGGGTTTTGCACTACAAATAAGATATGTGCAGTGTGCATAGAAATTCATTCATTTTTTTTTCAAATTATAATCCGGCCCTCCAACAGTTCGAGGGACTATGACCTGGCCTTCTGTTTAAAAAGTTTGAGGATCCCTGCTTTAGAACAACTCTGTGGCCATCTTCCTCAAGAAAGCTATTTTTTTAACCTGAGAGAACACCTTTCTAGCATCTCTATGTTGTTCAGTGTGATTCTATGCTCAGCTTCTAGTGGTACTATCAATCAGCTCTTTCCTTTAATGACAGCAGAGGATACTTCCTGGTAAATGGAGATCAGGATGGGATTCATTCTGTAGCAATATAACAACAGTGTTTATGCATATGGAAATCCTCAATAGGATTTCTGTCATCTTTTGCAGTTAGGTATATTTTTGTCCACTGAAACCATACTAACTCTGAAAAGGATCAAAGCTTTGCCAGGGCTAGTCAGAGAACAGAAAAAAAACCAGTTTGTGGTATTATGGGAACAGGTAGTACTTGGGAACTAAGAGGAATGCAATGCCCACCCCCACCCCCTTTTATGTGGCCAAAGACAGCTTTTTCACAGAGACTTCCCCATCAATTTACAATCTTACGCGCTATCAAATGCTTGCTTTTCTCTCTCAAGATGCTTTGACAGGACATCAATCTCCCCAAGAGCAAACTCCAACTGTTCTGACACCTTAGCTAGATTAGTCTTTGTCACTGTGTGTTCTTCCTCTTCTTTCTGTAAATCAAAATACAGTAGAAAAGTCTGAGTTATCAGTTTGCCTAATAAATTTCATTTAGCAGCTTGACAACAGTTAGCATCTGACTGCATCAGCAGGCACAGAAAATATACCTAAGTTCTACTCAGTCATACAGATACCACTTCTATACTTTTAAATCAATATAATTTACTAACAAACCAGTTATTAATACAGTAGAAACGATAACCATATATTTAATACTGATATATCAATCTGGATACAGCTATTTAAACTCTTAAGAATAACATCACTGTGTTATTTCTCTACAAATTATGATTTAAAATATCGGAAAATAAGAATGGAAGGATACGTACCTCTAATTTTTTTACAATCGCTTCATATTCTACCTTGCTGACTGAATTCTCTTCCTGTACTGCTATCTATACATATATAAATATAACAAATCACTTGTCTGTATAGCACATTTGTTATTAGGTCAGTTTATTCGTAGGCAGGTCAAGTACTGTACACCAAATTCATTTATTTCAATTTGCTTAGGTATTGCTTAATTTGTTCAAAGCCCATAATCCTCCATGTATAATCATGTATGGCTGATATATGGTATCTTATTTTAGAAGCTACGTTTTTTAAAGCTTCCCTTGATTTGGCTGTTTTTTTGTGTGCCCTTAATGTTATTTCTGAGTTAATTTGTGACTTCTGGAGCAGCATAGCTGCTGGTATTGAACAAGTGAATTATGGTCTGAATACCAGTTTCTTTTTCCTTCTGTTTTCCCCATTTCATCATCAGCTTACTTCAATTGCTGCAAATATGAGTTCCAAGTACAAAAATAGTTTGCATTCATCTCAGAAACAGGCAGAAGAGAGAGCAAAGTATTTCTCTTTCTGGGTTGTTGTGAGCCTTTGGGGCTGTATGGCCATGTTCTAGTAGCATTCTCTCCTGACATTTCATCTCCATCTATGGCAGGCATCCCCAGAGGTTTGTTCAGAGGTCTGTGAGAATGAGGCAAGGGAGGTTTATATACCTGTGGAATGTCCAGGGTGGGAGAAATAACTCTTGTCTGTTTGAAGCAAGTGTGAATATTACAATTGGCCAGCTTGATTAGCACTGAGTAGCCTTGTAGATGAAAGGCCTGGCTGTTATTATCTGGGGGCATCCTTTGTTTGGGAGGTGTTAATTGGCACTTGATAGTTTGCTGTCTGGAATTCCCCTGTTTCTGAGTGTCCTTTATTTATTGTCTTGATTCTGGCATTTTTTAAATACTGGTAACCAGATTTTGTTCATTATAATGGTTTCCTCTTTTCTGTTGAAGTTGTCCACATGTTTGTGGATTTCAATGGCATTTCTGTGTACTCTGACAAGATGGTTGTCACTCAGAGTGGTCCAGCATTTATGTGTTCTCAAATAATATGCTGTGTCCATATTGTCTGTATGAGGCAAGTGTGAATGTTGCAACACTCAAACCACTGCATCACACTGGCTTTCCAAACAGGCTTCTTCTGAATAAAAAAGAAACTCTCTCATAGCCAGGCACTGTAGCTTTTTGATATACGCTTGCCTTTTAATATATATTTGCAAATAAAGAGCAACACTCTGAAAACAGAGGAATTCCAGACATGAAACAATCAGCACCAACTATCACTCTGGGTCAGAGTGAAGAGAGGGGAGGCCAAGGGACAGTTCCATCTTGTCTCCTGGATATACCATCAGCTGGAGACCCCTCTCCCCAGCACCAACTGTCGCTCTGGGCCAGAGTGAAGAGAGAGGGGGGCCTGGGGACAGTTGCACCTTGTCTCCTGTGCTATTCTCATAATATAATACAATACAATACAATATAATATAACATAATATAATATAATATATTGTATATACATATATTTATAATATTATAATTATATATTTATATTACATGTAATATTACTAATAATATTATGATATAGTGGTATGGTTCAATATAGCAATGTTTAATGCTGATATTGTACTAAGCTAATGATATAATATATTACATGTAATATATACCTTGTAAGCTGCTCTGAGTCCCCTTTGGGGTGAGAAAGGCGGCATATAAATGTCGTAAATAAATAAATAAACAGTTTGGGACCCGCCTACCTGCGTGACTGCATCTCCATATATGAACCCACAAATTCCCTTCGATCATCTGGAGAGGCCCTGCTCACGATCCCACCTGCGTCGCAAGCGCGTTTGGTGGGGACGAGGGACAGGGCCTTCTCTGTGGTGCCCCCCCCCGACTCTGGAACTCTCTCCCCAAGGACATCAGACAAGCCCCAACGTTGCCAATCTTTAGGAAGAGCCTGAAGACCTGGCTGTTCCAGTGTGCCTTCCCAGATTAGGAAACTCCTGGCATCATGTCCCAAATGCACTTTATTAGAGACTAGGATTGTCCGCACATTGCACCTACCTCCAAAAACCTCTACATACCTCCTGTCAAGTTCAGCACTTTTAAATTTTATCCATTACACTTGGCCCGGCCTTTAGGTTTTAAATGTGTCATGGTGTCATTGTTTTTAGAGTTTTATTGTTTTGCTTGATGTTTTATTATTTGCTTATGAGTTTTACTGGTATATTTGTATGTTGTTTGTTGGCGGCCTTGGCCATTGTAAGCTGCATCGAGTCCTTCTGGAGATTTTGCGGGGTATAAATAAAGTTAATAATAAATAAATAAATAAATAAATAAATAAATAAATAAAGCAGGGCTAGCTAACACCTCCCAACAAAGGATTCCCCCAGGCAGTAATCAACATTGAAGGCGAGGGGAGATGTATCAGCCTTTTGCTTAGACTAGGCATCCTCCAACTGCGGCCCTCCAGCTGTCTGGGCCTTCAACTCCCAGAATTCCTGACAACTGAACAAACTCGTTAGGGCTTCTGGGAGTTGGAGGCCCAAACAGTTGGAGGGCCACAGTTTGAGGATGCCTGCCTTAAGTCCTGCTAAAGGAAACTAACTCTAATGCACCCTTGCCCTCTCAAATCTCCTTGCCTTTGCCCCACCTGCCGCCTCAGCTCGTCCAGCAAAGCCTGCTGGGCCTCGACCAAATCCCTCAGTTGCTGGAAGGCGACCAGCGCCATTTTAATTTCCCGCCGATTGTTTCCGCCTCCTTCCCCGTTGGACGTTGCTCCGCTTCCTCTTCCGACCAATCGCAAGGCAGCGCCTCAGATTCCGGTATTCTCATTGGCTAGCTCTAACGACTCCCCCCCCCCCTCTCCGCGCAGCCGGCTTTTCTGGTGCTGAATGGGAAATGTTCTCTAAGCTCTTAGCTCTTCTGCGTCTCTTCTTCCCTTCTGACAGTCTCTTCAAAAGACTGGGCGAAGAGGAGGGCCTTCAAGGAGGATTCTGAGGGGAAGGGACTGGCAAAAACACCTCTGAGCAGTCAGGGAACGTTGTAGATGTCGCATCCCTTGATTTCAGGAAGGCCTTTGACAAAGATCCCTATGATATTCTTGGTAAAAAGCTAGTAAAATGTGGGCTAGACAATGCTACTGTTAGGTGGATTGGGAATTGGTTATCTGGCCAGACCCAAAGGGTACTTACTGAAAGAGGAAGATAAGGTTTTCCCCTGACATTAAATCCAGTCCTGTCCAACTCTGGGGTGTGGTGCTCAACTCCATTTCCAAGCCGAAGAGCCGGTGTTGTCCGTAGACACCTCCAAGGTCATGTGGCTGGCATGACTGCATGGAGCACCCTTACCTTCCCGCCAGATCTACTCATATTTGCATGTTTTCAAGCTGCTAGGTTGGCAGAAGCTGGGGCTGACAGCAGAAGCTCACGCCACTCCCCGGATTCAAACCTGCGACCTTTCAGTCAACAAGCTCAGCAGCTCAGTGCTTTAACCCACTGCGTCACCAGGGGCTGAAGGAGACGTAGTTTTAAAAGGAAATTTTAGAGATGTTCTCAATGCCCATATGTCCTGATTTACTGCCATAGTTTTCTAAGATCTACAGAGACACTCGCTGGAACGCCTCAGCAAGCAAGAGTCCAAAAGTGGCTCAAACCCAGAACCTCAACCAATGGCTGATACCAAATGAGAGACTCCCCCTTGGGCACGCAGAAAACTGGGCGACTTGGAAGGCGCTGAACAGACTGCGCTCTGGCACCACAAGATGCAGAGCCAACCTCAAGAAATGGGGCTACAAAGTGGAATCCACGGCATGCGAGTGCGGAGAAGAACCAACCACTGACCACCTGCTGCAGTGCAACCTGAGCCCTGCTACATGCACAATGGAGGACCTCCTTGCGGCAACACCAGAAGCACTCCAAGTGGCCAGATACTGGTCAAAGGACATCTAATCAACTACCAAGCTTGCAAACTTTGTGTTTTGTTTGTTTGTTTGTTAAAAATGCAATGCAACTGTTTGGTCTGCCCCTGACATGATAAATAAATAAATAAATACTGCCATATTGGCCTATTTCTGCAGTAGGTCTATGTTTATGTTTACAGGCCCCATCCCTCCCCTCCTTTCGTAAGAGCCTGAAGACCTAGTTGTTTAAACAAACCTTTGAGAACAACTAGTTCTAGCTCTGCCCAGATACTGTTGAAATTGGCCGTATCTTCTTCTACCAATTACTCAGGTCACTCTCTTCTGTTAGGCCCTGGAAATGTACAGCCATAGACTCTACCTAATTTCCCGGGCCCTCTAAAATCACAGTAGCCCGGCCCGGCCTTTTAAACTACCTTGAACAGGCAGGATTATTTTAAATATATGTGCTATTGTGGTTTTGATGCTTATATTCTCCTGTAAATTTTATGTTTATGCCGTTTTTTTTCTTGTATGTACTGTTTATGTTTACTTGGAAATCGCTCTGAGTCCCCTTGGGGTATATAAATAAAGTTTGTTGTTATAGAAAATGCTGATTGAGAAAACTGCAGAGAAGTTACTATTCAAGGATAACATCTGGACAAAACCGGCTAGCTGGTGGCTAGTTAGAACCCCCAAGTTTCCCAGTCGCTCTGGAGCCATGTTTGCAACAAACAGATAAGATACCGTCACAGTCAGAGAACAAACAATGGACTATAGTTGTGTTATAGTTGTACCATTGATAGGATCCCATGTGTGTTATTATTGTCAAATCAAAATCATAAACAACCAATGAGCAACCGTGCAGCTAGTTTAGACCAATTAAATGATTTGTCTTTGGAAACCAATAAGAATGTGTATTTGATTCGCTGCCAGAAATGATAAAAAGCCTGCAGCTGTTGTGACAAACCCTTTGATTGCATTCCTGTATGCTTGTTTGTTGTTATTGCTATGGCCTCACAATAATGTGTTTTTTTGCAGTTTGAAGATTCAACTTTCGTTGTGATCTTCCTCGCCCTCCCTGTTGGAAAGGAGGCACCTGCTTTTTGGGAAATATTTTTGTTTCTTTGACCTACATTTTCAATGACTCCTCATCTGGAGAGAAGTGACTATTTTGGGTTTCTATCCCGGGCCCAAGGCTGTTCAACATCTTTATCAATGACAAAATTGAAAATATGCTTATCGAATAATCAGATGACACCACATTGGGACATAATACCCCAGAGGACTGGATCTCAATCCAAAATGAAATGAACAGATATAGGACGGGTGACATCTGGCTTGAAATCAATACATGTGAAAGAGATTTAGGAGCTGAACGTGAGTCAACAATGTTATACGGGAGCAATATAAGCCAATGTAGTACTAGTATTGTGCTACGTTAATAATATAATATATTGTATGTACAACTATCTATGTATATAATAAAGGTGAAAGTTTGTATGCGGCGGACAAAAGTGTGGCGGTGCGACGGGAGGAGTATGTGCCAGCGTTTTGATTGGCCAGCCTGAAAGTTCCAACATTCTGATTGGCTGCCCCAGTGGTGCTATTTGCATATGGTCTCTGATTGGCCAGCTTCAATAGGAGCCCCTGGTGGAGAAAAGAGTTCATGGCAGAAACGGGGACATTTGCATATGGTCTCTGATTGGCCAGCCTCAATTCCAAGATTCCGAGATGATAAAGAGAGGAAAGGAAAGGCCAGGGGCTGAGTCAGAACACTCCCAATACAGACCACACTTGGCACACAGAGCCCCCATGACCCACTCGACATCCTACTGCAGTTTGGAGGAGGATGAACCATGGATGATGGGACTTGCAGTACCATCACTCACATTCTGAGACCGCTGTTAACCTCATCCAATGACTGATCAGGACCAAACTTGGAACATAGACCTCTCATGACCCACTTTACGTCTGGTGTGGTTTGGCCGGGGATGGACCATGGATTATGGGACTTGCAGTACCTTTGCTCAATTCTTGAGACCACTGCAACCCTCATCCAATTACCGATAAAGACCAAACTTGGCACACTGAGTCTCCATGACGCACTCTACATCCTGGTGCGGCTTGGAGGAGATGCACCATGGACGATGGGACTTGCAATACCTGCACTCCCTTCCTAAAACCATTATAACTGCCAACAATGATGGATCAGGACCACAATTTACACAGAGAGCCCGCATAACCCACTCTACATCCTGGTGCGGTTTGGAAGAATTTGACAATGGACGATGGGACTTGCAATACCTGCACTCCCTTCCTAAAACCATTATAACTGCCAACAATGATGGATCAGGACCACAATTTACACAGAGAGCCCGCATAACCCACTCTACATCCTGGTGCGGTTTGGAAGAATTTGACAATGGATGATGGGACTTGCAGTCACTTCACTCACTTCCTGAGACCACTGAGACCCTTGCCAATGACTGATCAAGACCAAACTTGGCACACAGAGTCCCCATGACCCACTCTACATCCTGGAGCACTTTTGAGGAGGACAAACCATGGAGATAGGACTTCAAGTACCTCCACTTTCTTCCCAAGACTGTTGCAACCCTCATCTAATGTCTGAACAAAACCAAACTTGGCACACAGAGCCCCCATGACCCACTCTACATCCTACTGCGGTTTGGAGTAGGTCATACCATGGATGATGGGACTTGAAGTACCTCTACTCGCTTTCCGAGACTGCTGCGACCCTCAACAATGACTGAACAACACCAAACTTGGCACATAGACCTCTCATGACCCACTTTACGCCATGGTGTGATTTGACTGTGGATCGAGCATGGATTATGGGACTTGCAGTATCTTCGCTCAATTCCTGAGACCACTGCAACCATCATCCAATTTCCAATAAGGAGCAAACTTGGCACACCGGGTCTCCATGATGCACTCTACATCCTGGTGCGGTTTGGAGGATGATGCACCATGGATGATGGGACTTGCAGTTCCTTCATTCACTTAGTGAAACTACTGAGACCCTCATCCAATGACTGATAAAGACCAAACTTGGCACACAGAACCCCCATGGCCAACTCAACATTCTGGTGAGGGTTGGGGGAGAACAGACTATGAATGATGGGACTTCAAGTACCTCCACTCCCTTCCGAAGATTGCTACAACCCTCTTCTAATGACCAATCAAGACCAAACTTGGCATACAGAACCGCCATTACCCACTTTCTCTAATAACCCGGGCAGCGCCGGGTCCCCAAGCTAGTATAATATATATCATAATATTGTAATACAATATACTACTAATAATACAATATAAGAATATATTTTATATTACATGCAATATTACTAATAATATTGTGGTATAGTGGTATGGTACAATATAGTAATATATAATGCTAATATTGTGCTATGCTAATATAATGTATTGTATGTACATACAACTTGTAAGCCGCTCTACCTCTTTGGGGTGAGAAGGGCAGGATATAAATATCGTAAATAAATAGGCTGCCTCAATAGCAACCTAGTGTCTTGATCAGTGGTTCCCAACCTGTGGTCCTTGGACCACCAGTGGTCTGCAAGAACTAAAATATGGTCCACAACTTCACCATTACTACACTGTTGCAGCGCCCCATGGACTACACCCCTTCTTCGTGGCCATGTGCTCGTGGCAAGGAGGTGAGAAAAAGCCGTTAGAGAGAGTTTCCTAGGCGTCATGCTCCCCTTTTGTATTTTTTCAGCCTCAGCCCCCTCCACCCCCCCTTTTTTACATGAGCGTTAACAAAATCCACAGATAATAACACAGCCCAACCAAACACATTTTTCTTGGTGTCACTGTCTTCATTTTTAGGCTTGTTCCTGGGGTTATTTGGGGTGCTGATTCAGCAAATTGCTTTGAATGAACCACATCAGCGCTAGATTATTAAATATGGTTTTCTTTGGGCAAGCTGATGCCAAGTACTGTATGGCATATGTTCTGTATCAGAAACTAGAGCAGATGTGGTCTATCCAATTCCATTTTCTGAATCAGCACCCCAAATAACCAAACCGAATCTAAAACTGTTTCGAAACCCTTTTGGTACTAATGTTTTGGGGAGGTCCCTGGTCAAAAAAAGGTTGGGAAGCACTGGTCTAGAGTGAGGGAAGTCATAGTCTCACTCTATTCCGCTTTGGTCAGACTTCATCTGGAACACACTCTCCACAATCCACAATTCAAGAAGTATATTGAAATGCTAGAAAGTGTAGAGAGAAAAGCAACCAAAATGATCAAAGGCTTGGAAACCAAGCCCTATTAGTAGCAGCTTAGGGAATTGGGTAGTTTTACATCTTAGAGATGTTAAGAGGTGACATGAGAGCTAAATTTAAACATTTGAAAAGATATTGAAGATGGAACAAGCTTGTTTTCCTGCTGCTCTGGGGACTAGGATATGGAGCAAGGGATTTAAGTTGTAGGAAAAGATTCCACCTAAACATTAGGAAGAACTTCCTGTTGATTAGAGGTGTTCAACAGTAGAATAGACTGCCCCAGAGGGTGGTGGAGTTTCCTTCTATCTAAATTTAAATAGAGGCTAGATGGCCATCTATTGGACAGGATGGCCCTTGCGGTTTCCTCCAACTCTGAATCTATGCTAGCATAGGGATTAAAGTTTCCTGAACAGCGTGATACGAGGAATTGTCCCAAGAAATGTATATAAAGTATACAAAGACATATATCACTTATCTTTTTCCTTTGGTCTGTTACCACATCTGTTTTCAATCCATCCATTTGAATATCTTATCAAAATATCACAATTAATAAAAGAGTTAACCTTTCCCTTCAAATCTTCCCCACATCCAATGTGTGGATTAGGCAACATCTGGCTTCATAATTAAATGTGGAGGGCAAATAAGGCCAATATATTTCCTTTTCCTGGTCTGCTTGTGTCTTTCTATGTTACCAAACAACTGGAAATCATTTTAAACAAAATCATACCTGACTAAAAGAAATATCTTGAATATAAGATAGCTTTACTATTCATATCTTTTATTTAATTGTTTCCATACAGCAATAGGTGTCGTGTTCATAGCTAAACAATGTATTACATTTACATGTTTTTGTAAAAAAAAAAATGCACAACAGCACACACACAAATTTGTTTTCCACTTTAAGGAATCTTCAAAAACTGCATTAGTACTAAAAAACCCATTAGTACTTAGGCCAAAGTAACAGAATGGGTCACTTCAAATCTACCCATTGCCTCAAGATATTTCCAGAATTTTACATTATATAAGGAAAACATCTTATTTACTAGTCATCTGGTGCAACAACACACACCTAAATGATTTCTGAACATTGTACTGTACAATGCAACGATACAATGACCATATTGCCAATGTATATTTACATTCAGGGCAGATAAATCTTAGGAAGCATCTGAAATAAATAAAGAATCTCAAACTGGCGATGGATATAAAATAAGTTTTAAAAAAGTAAAGGGACATTTTCAATTACATGCACAGTACATCTAAGAATAAATTATTTTAGAAAGGAGAAACTTAATTATTTAATTTATGCTACAAACCCTGCAATAGGCTTGCTTATAGCCTAATTGGGAGAGCAGAAAATAATTACACAATTTTATCTATAAAAGTTCAGGATGCTACTTTCTCTAAAATTAGCAACATGGCAGTTCATAAAGTGTCATTTATAAAGCAGTGGCCATTTCTAACTTTCTCCAAATGGTAGTGTTAAGAAAACCCCATAGAAGAACTACTGGCTTAGAGAGAAGTGAAGAATGTTTTCAGACTCTTATACCTGGGAATATTTGGTTTGACTGGTCTCTGTGCAAGAACAAGGTAAACCAAGTGAACTGTAAGTATAAAGAAAAATGTTTTAAAGTATATTGTTCAAAAAATGGGTGTCTTGATTAAGCCATGATGATGAACTCCCATTAGAAAATTGATTTAGGAAGAAAACAATAAAGGCTACCAATAGCAAGCCCATGAAGGTAAATAGGTGTGATTGCTTTCTACCTGCAGGGAGACAGAGCTCTCCCAATGTATAGACAATATCCATTCACCACCACATCATTCTGGCTCAACAACTACCAAGATACATGTAAAAACAAGAGCTACATCTCTTTGAAGTATCTTCTAATAGTGAAAAAGCAGAGAATAATAATAATAATAGTAATAATATCTGTGAGGATCTGGCAAAAAGGAGACCAGCCCTTTAACCAGGGAACACTACTCTTCTAATGCTTGTTTGCTAATCCCCTCCTCATTTTTCTTTTTTATCAAATGTTTTAATCTATGAACAAAGAGTAGAATCTTTACTTCTCCAGACCACGCTGAGAACAACCTCAAGTACTTTGGGAATGCTAAATAAATAAATACATAAATAAATAAATACATAAATAAATAAATAAGCAATCAAGCAAATGAATAAATATATAGAGACAGTAATATCCACCATTTGAGGCTCCTTTTTTTGCAAGCTCTGCTAAAGCAAAACATTGGTGTACGAACTGAATGTGGAATAAATCTTGTCCCTCCTATCTAAATGTATCAACAGGTCATATGAACAGTTTTGGATCAATATGAAAATGACAACATAAAATGCTGACATGGATTTCGAACTGAGAGGAACCTGTCTTCATGGCAAGAACCGAGTATGAGTGTTGTGAGTCTGGGATTCATGTGCTTGGCACTTGTATGGCAGCAAGCTATCAAATGACAAAATTTGCCAAATGTAATTAAGTCTCCAAAGAATCACTAACATTTAACTACTACCAGGTCCTGGAACCAAATGTACCGAATACATTACAGCATGTGTGGTCTTACTGGCTCAGTTCATACAGCTCTCTGTACATGATACGGTACTAAGTCTATATATTATGTTCTTTAGATTATAAAAGGAAAACAGAGGCAAGCTGAAATTCTGACAGCACACAGGACTTGTCGGTACTGCTTGTTTTTTCCCCCTTTGAGGCTCTGTGTTAGCGACTTCTTTGTAGTATTATGATATTGGAGAGCTTTTCGCAGCTTTCAAGTGTGAGAGATTCTGCTTTCTGTTTCAGACGTTCATCTCGGTACAGCTTTGCCAAATGTGTTAACTCGGTTTCTGAAAAATATGGATAGTTACAGGAGTGTTAAGATTTATTTTATGTCATTTACTCCTTTTAAATTAATTGAGTCAATTTATTCAGATCTTGATTATTTTTTACAATGGATTACAGGTGGAAATAAGTGGGGAGTGGGAGGTACAGTAAAAAAAAAGATTATCGGCTTAGACAATTTGTGGACCTTTTCTATTTGATGGCAAGTTATCAGAATGATAAGAGTATTCATATGTATCTTGTACTCTGCAATACCCAGAACATTTTCAATAATTCAAGCTAAGACAATCTAAAAAGCCAATTTTGTCAGATGGGAAATCACATACCTCTTGTATTCACATGTATATGTTCCAAGACTTCCTGTGGGTATCTGAAACTTGAAAATAGTGAGCCCTATATTTTGACTTTACTTGAACGGGAAAGCATACTTTTGGTGGAGACAGAGAGGCCCACAAAACATTTCAGGGGAGAATACTTTCTTTGGAGTGTGGGTAAGTGAAACCGTGGACATTGAATTTGTGCATAAGGAGTTGAACAATACTGGCACTTTCCAACTTACAAACATTCAACTTACGTAAGACTCAGAGTTAAGAATGGGGGTGAGACAACAGGAAGTGAGAGAAATCTATCCCAAGGAAGGAAAATTCACTCCTAAAGAGTTGTCAAGGGGGAAAAGGTGTCTCTACAGAAGCTTTATCCCCAATTCTTGCTTCTACAACAAGCCATTTTTTTCAAAATACAATTCTCACAGGGACTGAAAGTGAGGTGAATCTTTTGAACAGGGGCACAGACAGCAAAACAAACACCACAGGGATGTTAACCCTTCCCAAAGCTAAAATGTATATATTTTTTTGGCTGGAGTTGGACTTTAAAATGTTCCTGTTCTGACTTACAAATTCAACTTAGGAACAAACCTAAATAAGCGATCTTGTTCATAACTTGGAGACTGTCTGTACTAATATAATTCTAACCTGAAATAAGGAATTCAAAATATTGAAAACTGAATGATTTGAATGATTTCAAATATTGTGCATAAGTATAAAATTATCTTCAGGCTTTGTCTATAAGATATATATGAAACATAAATGAATTTCATGTTGAAACCTGGATCCCATCTCCAAGATATCTAATTTATGCACATGCATATTATTATTATTATTATTATTATTATTATTATTATTATTATTATTATTATATAAAACCACAGTATGTCACAGCAAACGAGATCTATATGCTGGATTTCGTATCACAAAATCACAAGTCGAATACTTCCCAAGTGTCTTATTATTATTATTAATACCCCACCTTTCTCCCTGTGGGGACTCAAGGTGGCTAACAATCCCACACTATACAAGTTTTAAAAGTGCAATGCAAAAGTTAAAAAAATAATTAAATAGTAACAGTGCAGTAAAAACAATAAAAAACAATAAATATTCTAAAATCCCCCAAAATCTGAAATACTTCTGGTCCCAAACATTTTGGATTAGGAATACTGAGCCTATATGCTGATTAACATTCCATTTTCCTTATACACATCTTTGGTTTACAGGTAGAATATTTAATAGAGTTATCTTTGAGATCCAGGAATATATTTTTTTAAATTGTAAAACATGACATAGTAGGATAACTTACTTTGTTGTTTTTCTTTCCTGCAGCTCGTCTGAATATGGTCAATATATTCTTTTTCAATTTGTCTTTCAAGCTCTTCAAGTTCTTCACCATTATAATTATGTTCAAAGTTTTTATCAACATAGTAAGGCACCTGCAGGTTCTGAGTTTCCCTAAGAATAGTGTGCCCTAGATTCCTATAAGGGAGTGAATAAAAATGTTCAACACATAAGCAAGTAAGTTTTACCACATTAATATTCCTAGTCAACTTATTTGCTTTCTTAGGAGGGGGGCAGTATGAAAACAGATTACATGTTCCTTATTTATTTTATGAGATTTACTCTATCTTCATCCATCTTCATCAGGGGTGGAAACTATGCAGCTCTACATGTCACTGACATACACATCCTATCATTCCTTGTTGGAAATAGCAACCTTCTCAAGCCTCCACTAGTTGTTTGTTATGTATATGATTCAGATTGCTTACTGTATGGTATATGTGTGTATAGGCTTGCGGTTTTTCTTTAACTCTTTGTTGTGGGAGGGGCTGTAGACCATGGGATCAGGTCTGGGCTTGTTCAGGACTCAGACTGAATTTTAGAACAGTTTGCTTTAGACTTAAGTAGGAACAGTATGCTTAGAGACTTCAGCAGAAACAGATGTATGCTTTTAGAAGTCAGTAGGAACAGAATGCTTTACAGAAGCCATTAAACTTTTCAAGAAAGATGTTCTCTGTTACCTACACAGAGAAATTACTTCAAATCTATTTGTAACTGGACTGATAAAGTACCTGTATGCTGAATACGTGAAGTTTGTGAGTAAACCAACTATGTCACTTTTAAAGAAGTCTACTTATGTTTGTTTCTTGAGAGCATGATATAAAGGCAAATATATTTTAAGGGAGAGTAGATGTTATTGAGCAACTAAAAATAACTAACAAAATGAAGTTCAACAGTGACAAATGCAAGATACTTCACTTAGGCAGAAAAAAATGAAATGCAAAGATACAGAATGGGGCTTGAGAGCAGTGTGTGTGAAAAAGATCTTGGAGTCCTCGTAGACAACAAGTTAAACATAAGCCAACAATGTGATGAGGCGGCAAAAAAAAGCCAATGGGATTTTGGCCTGCATCAATAGAAGCATAGTATCTAGATCCAGGGAAGTCATGCTACCCCTCTATTTTGCCTAGGTTAGACCACACCTGGAATATTGTGTCCAATTCTGGGCACCACAATTGAAGAGAGATATTGACAAGCTGGAATGTGTCCAGAGGAGGACGGCTAAAAAAAAGAAAGATCAGGGGTCTGGAGAACATGCCCTATGAGGGGCGGTTCAAAGAGCTGGGCATGTTTAGCCTGAAGAAGAGAAGCTGAGAGGAGACATGATAGCCATGTGAGAGGAAGTCACAAGGAGGAGGGAGCAAGCTTGTTTTCTGCTGTCCTGGAGACTAGGATGTGGAACAATGGCTTCAAACTACAAGAAAGGAGATTCCATCTGGACATTAGGAAGAACTTCCTGACTGTGAGAGCTGTTCAACAGTGGAACTCTCTGTCCTGGAGTGTGGTAGAGGCTCCTTCTTTGGAAGCTTTTAAACAGAGGCTGGATGGCCATCTGTTGGGGGTGCTTTGAATGCAATTTTCCTGCTTCTTAGCAGGGGGTTGGACTGGATGGCCCATGAGGTCTCTTCCAACTCTAGGATTCTATGAAAAAGAATACTTCTAAAACTCTGCTGTATACATATGTGTTTTGTGCATTGGCATATCTTTGCCCCTAACAGTTCAAAGAAATATCTAGGTACATCAGTTTAATAGCTGAGAAACTTGACTGCCTTGCATGAATGCCATCTTCCCAAAAGGTTATGACTCTTAACAGGTCATGCTTTTTCCTACGAGGTTATGACATCATTTTTCAAAAGGTTAGAAAGGCAATGCCTTTCTAAAGGTCATAAAATCTCCAAAAGGTTATGGAGATTTCAATTTTCCAAAATTTATCACCAAAGGCTATACTGGCTAGGGTTATTTGGAGTTGCAGTACAACATCATCTGGCTGGCCCAACAATTTCCATTCCTGATCTACACAATTTTAGAGTGCCCAAAAGCCTATGCAGTTACTGTGGAACCTACACAAATTGTTGGAAGCATACATTGCAAATACTAAAGATTATTCAACTGGCACGTATTACAATCAGCCTATACTCCATCTCTGATATATTCAGAAGTATAGAATCAAGAAAAATAAAACCAGAACCATAAAATTATGTTCTTAATAACACTTGCAACTTTAAATGAAGCTTTACACCATGTAACAAACTACACATTTTATCTAACCTAAAGAGCAACCTATGTATTGGAAACATTAGAGTGAGGAAGTAGGTTCTGCTAGGAGATTAAGGAAAATTGGGACTTACGATTTGAAGAAGAGGCTGTAGGGTGGATTAGTAGCCATCAACTGAGTCACTACTGACACTACTATTATAATAAATACTGGTAGTAACTGAATAAATGCTGAGTAGCTATTCTGAAAATGAAAATGGTGATTAGAGACAATTAAAAGCTAGGAATAAGAAAATCATTTTCATAAAGCCAAAACTATTCATAAAGGTATAAAAACACAAACATACTGGACACGTTACTAGCAATTCTTCCTTTAGTAAAGACTTTATAATTTTGCTTATGTGAAAGGAATATTGAAAAACAATTACTTCAAATCAAGGCTCTTCATATTAATTAAAATTATGTGGTAAGAACAGAACAGCTTTCATATTGCTCTACAAGGCATCCAGGAAGGATTATTTCATCATTCATATTTCTCAGGCTTTTATAGACATGTCACCATGAACTGGTCACCATCACTAATAGTATCTATTATGTAAAATAATAGAAGGTAGTATTTACATCTGATGAGTATTTTCTAGTAGCTATTTTTCTCACATATGGAAATTGGCATATAATGAGTTAAATTCTGTGACTGATGGAGTTTTTCCAATAAATTATTGCAGAGGTGGCCCCTGAGCTAAATACTACTTGCCTTTTTTGTGGTGCATACAGAATATAATCTGATAGCAGAGATCAGGATTAAGTGTCCTGTTTAATTACAAAGTTAATAGATGACACTGCAGACATAATTGTTTTTCATCCTCACAGCCTAGTTGAAAGAAAAAATGTACTGCTCTGCCAGCGGAGATGGGAGAAATAAATATGTGGGAAGTACAAATCTGTATCATAGTCATCCACAAAACTGCCATTTGATAACGTTAAGTTTCAATTTGATACAATATTTGTTTTATTTTATGTAAGCCCCATGAAATTCATGAGTGTATAAAGGGAGAAGTTCCATTCATATGCATAGCTGAATATGCACTGAACAATTATTCTGTAGAATCAAAATAATTCCTATTAAATTTACTTAAAGAGCACTTTCCAACAAAATGTCCCAAGAGCAACAAACTCTACTTTTTTAAAATGGTTCAAATCTTACACATTATAAGCAATACTAGATTTCTGGTAACCAATAGATAGATGGATTTAAAGGGTAATCATACAATCAGCCTTCAAACTACCTGTGGTCTGGTGTCTTCTTCCTCTTCCTCTTGTGTCCAAGTCCTTTCATGTCTGTTTCGCTGCTGATAACATGGAGGATCCATGGTTGAATGTGAAAACATGTGTATATTCCCTTTTTAAAAAAAGATAGTTATTTTAAATTTTATTAGTAATAATAACATGCCATATATATAAAAGACAAGTGTGGGATTTTACTCCTGTCAGAGCATCTTCGTTTTCATTTTTGAATTACCTGACATCTGATTGTTGAAAGACTAAAATGTTTGGTTAGGATCAGGAGTTGCATTTGGTTATTGGATGAACTCTCTCTGTTCAGCAAAGAGATAATTCAGATAATATTCCTGCTGGTACAATAGAAGACAAATGACCTTCTGACTCTGCAGATCCGCAAGGCCATCTCTCTAATCCTTGGAGCAAATTTTAAAAGATCTGCAAAGGGAGTGAGGACCCACAAAAACCGCCTCCCTATCTTAGTACCAGTTGAGCATCCTAAGAGTAATTTCACGAGATAGCTCTCTAAAAGCAAAAAGAGAAACAGTCTTACTGTAGAAATGCACAATTTGTTATCGAAGGCTTTCATGGCCGGAACCACTGAGTTACTGTGAGTTTTCTGGGATGTATGGCCATGTTCCAGAAGCATTCTTTCCTGAATTTTTGTCACGTCTATGGCAGGCATCCTCCGAGTTTGTGAGGTCTGTTGGGAGCTAGGCAAGTGGGGTTTATATATCTGTGGAATGTCCAGGTTGCGAGAAAGAAATATTGTCTGTTTGTGTGAACATTGCAATTGGATGCCTTGGTTAGAATTGAATGGTCTTGCAACTTCAAAGCCTGGCTGATTGCTGCCTGGGGGAATCCTTTGTTGGGACATGGAACATGGCCAGAGAACCCGGAAAACTCACGGCAACCCAATGCACAATTCGTTTTTCACAATTCAGCTTTCTTTTTTAAATCAACTGAGTAACACTAAGAACATTCCAGATTGCCATTAATGAAGAAATAGGCCAGGCATGAAACGTATTCATCCTAACAGTTGCAAAGTTTGTCTTAAGCTAGAGGGTAGTTCTCAACACATTCTTGCCTAAAACTCTCTGTTAACTGTTATCATTGACCAGAATGGATAAGGCTAACAGGAAGTATAAAGCATCTGGGTAGTCAATGGCTCCCCAGTTCAAGTTTAAAATTAAATGAAAAAAATAGTATAGTGTCATATCATTAGACTAGTATAAAAAGTGGAACATTAAGACTGAATTGAGGCTGCACATTTGAGAAGACTTAATGTAATCCTATCTCAAAGCCAAACAAACATGATAATTCTTTATCGTGCAAGAATGCTAAACCAGTATTCTCTAGTGCAGTGGTTCTCAACCTGTGGGTCCCCAGGTGTTTTGGCCTACAACCCCAGAAATCCCAGCCAGTTTACCAGCTGTTAGGATTTCTGCGAGTTGAAGGCCAAAAACATCTGGGGACCTCAGGTTGAGAACCATTGCTCTAGTGGCTTATGTTACTATCATCCAAAGAAACACAGACAGGTTGATTTTATGAAGGTGTCAGATGATAACACTGGATTTGGAGGATGGCATATCATAGTGGCGAAATACCAAATAAGATGCAAAATGAGCTTTGAGATCTTTGGACAAAATGTGGAACAGTAATTCCATAGAATATGATGCTTTGCTGGCTTAGAAATATTTTAATAACAGCAGCTTTTGCTGTCCTTCAAAGAATATCCAGACAAGCCGCACTCACCTGTTGGAAAGTTCCCTCCAAAAAACATATTAAATATTTCTTCCGGTGTGATGTCTGCTTCAAACTCTCTGTAATAGTTGTAATGCCTGGGCAGATTTGTGTAAGGTTCTTCTTCATCTCCATATTGATCATACTGTAATCTCTTTTCAGGATTGCTCAAAACTGCAAAAGCTGTTCCTATCGCTGCAGTGGAGAAGAGAAAGAAAGGGGGATGCTGTATTTATGTTGGCAGGCTTATTTAATGCCCAGCCAACATTGGAATGCAATTCATTAAATGCTTCAGAAACATTACTGCTATTGAAATATATGAAACCAGCTCTTTATGAAATCAACTTTGTGTTCCTTAAGGAATACTGCTGAACATATATAGCTTGGAAAATTTGGGCTCAGGTCCTAATAATCGTCTAAGTCATAATCAAAGTATCATCCCAAATGTTCAAAATATTTTGACAACTCTACAGATGTTGAATCCTGAAGAAGTAACACATATAGTGCTCACAATATGACATGTCCATTTGAATTACTTTTACTGGACAACTAGCTGGTGAATTTTTATATATTGCCATTTGTTAATGCTGGGGTTTGTTTGTTTGTTGCCCTGAACTCTGTTTTTAGTGAGCACACAGGATATAAACTGAACAGAATATACGCATACAGGGAAAGAGAAAAATGTTATTCTTAGCTTTGCTATTTGCAAATATTGGAACGAATGTATATGACTACCTCTTAAATTGATAAGCAGAGAACAACATGATCTTTATACCTGCCATATCCAGACTCTTGAACATACCTTTAAATGCATCTGTTGCTCCTGGAGCACAATTCTTGTCTGGGTGAAATTTCAGGGCAAGTTTTCGGTAAGCTCTCTTCAGCTCTTCCTCACTTGCCTCTCTCTCAACGCCTAGAATCTCATAGTAATTCTTACTGTTCTTGATTCTATCAAATGAACATATGATTAAATCATTATTTTATGATGTTTTATACTTATCAATGTATTTGGATTGTTGTTTACATGATTTTAATATGTTGCAAAATCATGTTGCATGATTTTAATATGTTGATTTTAATATGTTTTGGGTCCCGCGAGGGAGAAAAGCGGGATATAAATAAAGATGATGATGATTATTATTATTGTGTGCCTTTTTACCCAAGCAGCAATTATAGATGGCTTCTTGTGGCCTACATTAAATCTTTAATTCTATTATGGGAAAAGTATAACCAATGCCAGTGTCAGCTTGCACTACTTACAGAGAAGTGCTCCTAAGATTCCATTATTTTAGATCTGCTTCATTGATTGTGAATCCATCAGAAAGAATCAAATAAAGATTCAATGTGGACTTTAAGGATTAATTTTTCTAACTTCTGGAAAACTGAGAATGATGGTTGTTAGTGCTGATATTACTCCATTTTATCACTAGTTGCAGAGGAAGGGAACCCAGACAGCTAACTAATGTCATTTCAAAGTTTGCTGTAACTTGGGAAATGAGCAAATAAAACCTTTACTTATTCTCATGTATTATTTTATTTAAGTTAAATTTAAATTAATTAGGAAAGATTTAGCTCAGGTTAACTCAAAATGAAGCACTCAAAGATGTTTTGAAATGTATTTCCCATCATGTCTAATACCAAAGGGCATAGTATCTGGAAGGTTTAAGGACTGAACTAAATCCCAAGGATCAGAGCTTACTTTTCAAATCCTATTAAACTGAGCCACCCCACCACCCCCAATACCACTTTTTACAGCAAGTGTTTGTTGTTTCCAGCTGAATGTGATGAGAGGTGCCCTAGATGTTGTTTTAACCTCAGAGCTGTGAGGGGAACCATCTTTGCAGTTGTGCTGAAGATCTCACACAAAACATTTGGTTCCCCTATTCGTTTATTATAGTACACCCCCTCTCCACTTCTTCTTTTGAGGGTTTGCACACTTGAAGAATACAGAACACTTAGAAGGTGTAAAGCAGTGGTTCTCAACCTGTGGGTCCCCAGGTGTTTTGGCCTACAACTCCCAGAAATCCCAGCCAGTTTGTCAGCTGTTAGGATTTCTGGGAGTTGAAGGCCAAAGCATCTGGGGACCCACAGACTGAAAAACACTGCTGTAAAGCTTTCAAACTACAAGCTGTCCTAATCTGGTGTCCTCCAGATGTGTTGATTTATTTATCCCGGAATCCAAAAAGCTTGGGAAAACTTAGGTTACAAATGTAAAAATTCCTTTTCTTGTGCAATCTAACTTTTAAAATTTTATAATTCATTTACTGTATATTTTAGGCTATCAACATTATAATCCTGTTAAGATTATCAATAATCTGATTAAACTGCATTTACTGTATTATAGATATGATAGAATTATCATAAACTGTCTTTATAGATGCCTGTTAAGACTGTCAAAACTCCATTAAAGAAGTTCAACACTCTAAGCAGAAAAAGTCATCAAAAGTATTTCCATTCCCTAGTAAAATGTTGGAATTAGAATAGATTGAATACAAATAAAGGGCTACATCTTTTAATAATTTGCTCCCACAATTAAAATTCGCCTCAGATAATTTACTGCACTTTCAGCTACTGAACTTCACATTTATTAATTTTGTGGTGGTTGTGTACCTTCAAGTTGTTTCCAACTTGGAGAGTTTTCTTAACAAGATTCGTTCAGAAGAAGTTACTCAAATTACAAGTTGCCACTCCAGCCCAAGCTTCTCCTTTAGATCTACAGGTCTTCCACTAAACCAACCCAGCATAGTCATGGATAATTCTAGTAGTTATACTCAAAAACATCTGAAGCGTTATCATGTGGGGAAAGAAGGCTGAAGAAGAGGCTTCCTATTTACCTTTGCACCCCAAGTAATTGCTCCTTTGTGTAAGTGCTGCTCCCTTCCCCAGGCACTGACTGAGTCCTTCCACTGTCGGGCACATGCTCCTTCTTCATTCTCATGCAATCACTACAGCCACAGTAGTCAAAATTGTCTCGCACTTCCTCCGATGGACATGGATTTCTTCTGAGCTCATCAATTAATGCTGCAAAAAAAAAAAAAACCCAAAAAACAACAACAGATTTCTTATCTGTACATTTACCAGAGTGAAACATGTGGTAATACACTTAAGGGCACATATGCATAACAAAAGGTGGAAGGTATGAAGCAGATTGGTTTCACCAAACTAGGGTCTACCAAATGTATGTCTTAGAACAAAGAATCACTTCAGGAACACTAAACTACACATAAGAAGCCAGCTAGAGCAGACTGGGAATTCTTGTTGGGAAGAAACAGGTTTCAAAGAGTTGCCAACATATGTTTCTTAGAAGCCTGCTACAGGTGAGGAAGATAAAGACATCTCACCTGCTGTGTGCCATACTTATGAACCTGACCCCCAGGAACTGGTATGCAGAGGAATACTGTGAAACTGGCTGTTCTCACCTCCAGCCCTGATGCGAGATAACAGAAGAGAAGGATCCATTATAAACATCCAGGAGCCATTCATTTAGACCCCATCTACTCTGGCCATTTAATGAAGATAGCTTCAGACTGAGGGCCCTTCCACACAGCCCTTTATCCCATAATATCAAGACAGAAAATCCCACATTATCTGAGTGTGGACTCAGATAACCCAGTTCAAAGCCTTGCTGTGGGATATAGGGCTGTGTGGAAGGGCCCCCAGAATATCAAGGCAAAAAATCCCAAAATATCTGCTTTGAACTGGTTTATCTGAGTCCACACTGTCATATAGTCCAGTTCAAAGAAGATAATGTGGGATTTTCTGCCTATATATTTTGGGAAATAGGGCTGTGTGGAAGGGCCCTGAGGCAGATAAACAACAAACTCCCACAAAAGCACATGAAAGAAAGCCCTTATTGTGCATCAGTGCTCTGTGGTTTAAGTCATCACCATCCGGTTCCTCTGTAATCACCTGCCCAGTGAAACCATCTTCTTCAGTACTGGTTAGAAACTGCATTAAATGGTCAGTGTAGATGGGCCTAAGTTACTTCCTTTCGGCCCTCTGTAGCCAGAATAAACATTTCTTCAACTTCCTTTTCAAACTTTTGCCCATAGTACTTTGAAATAGAAAACCACTTCTATTCTAAATCTTTTTCCTGCGACTCTTCCACCACCCTTTTCGGAACATTTGCCCTAGTATTTCTCCTCCAAGTCCAGCCCTTATTCCACACACAGACCCCTTATAATTTGAGAAAGTCCAGAGCAGACCTTCTCCAACTGCGGCTCTCCAGCTCCCAACAGATCTATCCAGCTTATTCAGTGATCAGGAATTCTGAGAGTTGGAGGCCCAACCTGCTGGAGGGACACAGTTTGAGGATGCCTGTTCCAGAAGAAAAGCTATTATTATACTGGAAGGAAAACAAAAGTCCTCAAACACTTGGGGTACCATTTGCACTGCTGATTACTATATTGTACTATAACATTATACTGTAATATTATTATCAATATTATATCGTATTACATTATAATATTATCAATATTATATGTATATTCTTCTGCCATCCTAGCAGTTCGAAAACATACAAATGTAAGTAGATCAATAGGTACCACTCCGGTGGGAAGGTAATGGTGCTCCATGCAGTCATGCTGGCCACATGACCTTGGAGGTGTCTATGGACAACGCCGGCTCTTTGGCTTAGAAATGGAGATGAGCACCACACCCCAGAGTTGGACATGACTGGACTGAATGCCAGGGGAAAACCTTTTCCTTTTATATGTATATACAATATCTATATAAATAAAAATGCAATGTTCGTTTGTGGGATTAACAGAACTCAAAAACCACTGGACGAATTGACACCAAATTTGGACACAAAACACCTAACAACCCAATGTATGTTCTTCACTAAAAAAATGATTTTGTCATTTGGGAGTTGTAGCTGCTGGGAATTATAGTTCATCTACAATCAAAGAGCATTCTGAACCCCACCAACGATGGAATTGAACCAAACTTGGAACACAGAACTCCCATGACCAACAGAAAATACTGGAAGCGTTTGGTGGGCAGTGTCCTTTGGTTTTGGAGTTGTAGTTCACCTACCTCCAGAGATCACTGTGGACTCAAACAATGATGGATCTGGACCAAACTCTTCACAAATACTCAGCCCAAATGTGAACACTGGTGGAGTTTGGGGAAAATAGAATCTTGACATTTGGGAGTTGTAGTTGCTGGGATTTATAGTTCACCTACAATCACAGAGAATTCTGAACCCCACCAATGATAGAATTGGGCCAAACCTCCCATATAGAACCCTCATGTGGGCCACAGCAACGCGTGGCAGGGGACGGTTAGTATTATATTATTAGCACAGTGCAGGAGACAAGATGGAATTGTTTTCGTGGCCCCGGAAACCGGTGAATAAGGAAAAGTAGAAGCAAAAAGCCATGGGAAATGGCAGGAGGCTAAGCTGGAAGGGAGACATGGCACTTCCTGTGTAAACATTCAGAGCTATAGAATCTTACAGTGGGAAGGGGCCACCCGGCCCAGCCCCCTTCTGATAGGCAGGAAGACACAACCCGAGCACTCCCCGCAGAGGGCCAACCACCTGTGGTTCTGCGCCCAGAGCCCTCCCTCCTCCGCCTTCCAGGGATCCTCCCCCGAAGGAGCGTTACCTTCGGCCCAGCGCTGCCCCGGGCCCAGAACGGCCATGATCCATCGGGGGAACTGGGCGGGGCCAGGCCTGCGGCCACGTGACTCCCACGCGCAAGGCGCCCTGGGCCTTGGAGTTCCCCGCGCAATCCGGAACCTCCGCGCCGGAAACTGGGCGGGAAAAACCGAGTCCTATTCCCTAGAATCACTGCGTTGTAAAAGACCCCAATCCAGTCCGTGCAGGGAGGCGCAATCCAATGTCAATCGAACGCCGGAAGTAGAAAGGAGGGGGGGGAAAAACCCGGAAATACGCCATTTTTGAAAAGCTTTGTGGGCCTCGCTATCCTATGGCGCCTTTGATATAGCGGGGCCGGAAGTGGCGCGCGCCGGCGCTGTGAGGCAGCGGTTGGTCGCGCAGGCGCACTTCAAGGGGGGTTGCTGTGCAGAGTGGGGCTCGTGCCTGGATTTTGGTTGTCTCGCGCGGCCAAGGGCGGGGGGAGGAGGAGGAGGAGAAAGAGAGTTGAGGCGCAGAAGGAGAAGAAGAGCGGCGGCGGCGCTGAGGGAGGCGTCGTTGCGCGGCTGCTGCTGCTGCTGCTGCTGAGGCTGCTGCGGGCGGAGCGGGCGGCGCTCCTCCTTTTCCTCCCCGTGCGGCGCGGCTCTTAGGCCCGAGAGGACGGACTCCCCGCTCGCCCTCTCCCCCCCTCTCCGCCCTGGGCGGCGGCGGCGGGGGCGGCGGCGGGGGGGAGGGGCGGGGCGGCTGCGGAGGGAACAGGTGAGAGCCTTTGGCCCGCGGAACCCCCAGCGGAAGAGGGCGGGAAGGAAGGAGGAGGGAGGGAGCCAGTGCCTGTGGGCCTGAAGGACCAGGCAGACCCATCTTCAGCATCCCACACCAGGCCTCCAACTCCCAGAAGCCCTTGCCAGCTTGCCCAACGAGGAGTTCTCGGAGTTGGAGGCCCAAACACCTGCCGGGCCTAATTGGAGGAGGCCTGGTCTACACAATCCAAGAGAAGACATACATGAAGCTCCCTGGGCAGGCCCGTAGCCAGGATTTCGATTCCGGGGGGGGGGGGGGGGGCTGAGTCTGAGTGAAAGAGGGTCTACCCTAGCAAACCTTTTGTATCGTTACCCCAATACCCCCATGCATATGGGATATATTGAGTATGGTGATCAGATCATGATATGAATAAACATAACAGTTTAAATAATGCACCAGTAAGGCCTTTTTGTGAACCACTATGAGAATTTCGGGGGGGGGGGCTGGGCCAAGGAGCGAAGGTCATTCCCTCACCTCCTTGCGAGGAACCACTTCTAAAGTGGGGTACATATCCAAGGAAGTCCGCATTTCTTCGATTCTAAGATGAACGCATTGGTCCCTTCCACACAACTGTATAAAATCCCACATCTGTATTGAACTGGAATATATATATGGCAGCATGGACTCAGATAACCCATTTCCTGCCATGATATTCTGCATTATATGGCTGTGCGGAAGGGCCCCCAGTTCAAAAGCACATATTGTGGGATTTTCTACCTTGATGTTCTGGTTTATTTGATTGTGTAGAAGGGTCCTCAGATAACCCAGTTCAAAGCAGATTTTCTGGGTTTTATGGTTGTGTGGAAGGGCCCTCAGATAACCCAGTTCAAAGCAGATATTCTGGATTATATGGTTGTGTGGAAGGGCCCTCAGATAACCCAGTTCAAAGCAGATATTCTGGGTTATATGGTTGTGTAGAAGAGGCCTCAGATAACCCAGTTCAAAGCAGATATTCTGGGTTGTGTGGAAGGGGCCTCAGATAACCCAGTTCAAAGCAGATATTCTAGGTTTTATGGTTGTGTGGAAGGGGCCTCAGACAACCCAATTCAAAGCAGATGTTCTGGATTATATGATTATGTGGAAGGGCCCTCAGATAACCCAGTTCAAAGCAGATATTCTGGGTTGTGTGGAAGGGCCCTCAGATAACCCAGTTCAAAGCAGATATTGTGGATCATTTTAGTACCACAAACAGGAAAAAAACCCACATGCGATTCTAAGGGCCCTTCCACACAGCCCTATATCCCAGGAAATCAAGGCAGAAAATCCCACAATATATGCTTTGAACTGGATTATCTGAGCCCACACTCAGATAATATGGGTTTTTCTGCCTTGATATTCTGGGATATAGGGCTGTCTGGAAGGGTCCTAAGCCTGGATCTACAGTTTCATATAATTCAGATTCTCTAAGCAAATATTTATTTATTTACTGTATTTGTATACCACTTTTCTCAGCCTATAGGCAACTCAAGGCAGTTAACAGGGTAAAATTTAATGCTTACAATATCATAAATACAATTAAGAACATAACATATAATAAAAATTAAACATATCAATAAAATATAAATTTATATTCCAGGGTCCTTCCAGACAGGTCCTATGTCTCAGGATCTGATCCCAGGTTTTCTGTTAATCCTAGATAATCTGGCAATGCAGACTCATATAATTCAGTTCAAAGCAGATAATCTGGATTTTATATGGCAGTGTAGATGGGACCTAAAACACCCTGTTTTTTTGAGATGGGGTGGGGGAGTGCACCTTAGAATCGAAGAAATGGGATCTATACATGCTGAGGATCGCTTGTCCAAAATACTTGAGACCAGGAGTGTTTGGGATTTTCAGACCCACCCCCATTTGGAATACCTGAACAGTAGACTCTCAGTTAACAGGAACTCCTAAGCAACTGGGCAAAAATTTGAAAACAAATACTATAATACTCTAAATAAAAATGTAAATATATTTTAATAATATAGTAATATCAATTTTTATAATGTGTTAAGTGTTACATTAAGTAGAAACTCAGTTAACTGAAATTCAAGCAACAGGAACTCCCAAGCAATCGTTAAAAAAATGAAACAATACCATAATACTCTGAATAAAAATTAAAATATAGAAAAATCAGTATTTATAATGTATTAAATGTTATATTAACTTTGTCCTCATTTGCTTTTAGCTGCTGTATTACATTATCAATATCAAGTCAATACAGAGTTTGTATAGTATTAGGTGGTCATGTTTTTAATAGTAACTCTGAAGCAATCAGAAACCACATTTATCTGGCATCTACCAATCCCCACAAGTGCCGATTAACTGACAGTCTACAGTAATTTCCTCGTATTTACCCTAGGAACATATCCATCAAATAAGTTCTGTACATATCGGTCAAATAAATGCAAGTTAAATATTCCTTATCCCAAATCCTTGGGAATGAGAATGTTTTGGATTTTTAACCCTCCCCCCCCCCCCCTGTATTTTGAAATAGCTGTATTTGAATAGATGTATCTATCTTTTAGATGGGAACCAAATCTAAAGAAGAAATTTATAATTCATGTTTTTCTTATGCGCATAGCCTGAAGTTAATTTTATACACAATATTCTTAATAATTTTGCTCATGAAACAAGGCTTGTGTTCATTCAACTGTCAGAAAGCAAAGTTGTCACTGTTTCAGTCACCTAGGTGGACAATTTCAGATTTTGGAGCATTTTGGAATTCTGGATAAGAGATACTCAATCTGTACTTGTCTCACATCCCCCTGTAGAGAGGAATTATCCACCACTTTTGATGCTGCTGCTGACGACGATAACAGTGATAATTATATTTATCCATGCCTTGTTTATTTCCTTAAGGTTGTGATCCAAAGCAATTCACTATTTAAAAAACTATACAGTCATTTCTTTTGTAGACTTCCAGAGCTTCATTGATCAGTTAAACATTTCAGTATCATTATCTACTTGCAAAAAAGGACATATTGTAGACTTCCATTTGTACAGTCTTTGCCTCTTGTGAACCAGCACCTTGAGTTGGGTGACTGGGAGCATATGCAGAGTTCAAAAAGAGAAGTTGGTGCCACCTTGAAATATGACCTTTTCCATTGCTCACAGCCAGGTTGGTGAATGTTCAGTATTAGGTTGGTTTGGAAGTCTGAAAAAATAGTATTTCAGTGCCAGTGAAAGAAAATTTCAGGTTGCATAGTCAAAAGAAATACGTGTAGCATTGGTTCCATGATGTATGGGAGGACACAGTAAATAGTATATGCTTGGTTGCATTGATTAATGCATAGAAATGTGAAACAAATGCCTAGAATATGGACTGTCTTTGACCTCAAGTTCCCATGGAGCTCTCAAAGGAAAGCAGCTCTCTGGGACTATCCACATTATAACTTAATTGATACTTAAGTGTCACAACTTTCCCTAAGACTTCTGGGAATTGTATTTTGGAAGTGTTAAGAACTATTAGATCACTGCCAATGCTTTCACAGGAAACCGTTACTCCACTTCAATTTCACTTATATGTTTGTTTGGGGTTTTTTTTTGTTTTGTTTTTTTGGTCTAATTTTAATGGATTTTCAGCTGCATTTTAAAACGTTGGTGCATGAGACATTTTGCCACAGCATGAAAGTGTGTTCCCCAAATACTGCATATACTGTTTGACATCGAATGGTAATTATGGAAATTATTTCAAGGCTAAATAAGTGTATTTACATGGAAGAAAAAGATAATAATGATTTAATCAGGGTTATAAATTCCTTCTTAAACTATATATTTTTGTAAGTGGTTCACATTTCTATCCCTGCTTAGCAATGGTTAAGAGAGTTGCAAATCTCACTTATCAACTTTCTCTTGTAATTTCATTATCCTTGTCTACTATTGGAATCTTTAATCCTGTTAAGTGTGTGTACAGTTTTTGGGAACATGCTGCAGGCGTTTCTATGCACCCTCTCAAAAAACATAGAGGTGGCATCTTTGCTGAGAAGCATTTAAAATGTATACCCGTGTTTTCTGATCAATATGATAGAAATCTACAGGGCTGGGTTATGTTAGCTGCATCAAAGTGAGAGTTCAATGAGATAAAATTGATACATCTGTCATATGGATATGCCATTTATGCAGAAATATAGTTGAACCTTTGTGCATAGCCATTTACGTTGAATTGCAGTACAATAGTGTTTTTCTAATTTTAATTAGAAAGGCAACAGAATGCATGGAAACATTAAAGTGTAACAACCCCTTTGTTAAATTGGTATTTCTGGAGAACTTGTTGCCAGCAACTTCCACATTTATCTATCGAGTACAGTAAATAGTTGTCATAGTTTTGTTTCCAAGTTTAGACCAAAGTGGGTGCCCCATAGACTCA